TTTCTTTCTGTCTCAATTTTGACAGATTTGGATATAATACAACCTGGCCACATTACCAGGTTGATAATTTGTTCAATATTTATTGACAGGCTTAAAAAGAGTTCTGTGGAAAATGGAAAAGTGCTATGGTGGTGGTGGTGTGCCATGGAGTCGGTTCCAACCCATAGTGACCCTGCATAGGGTTTCTGAGGAGCGACTGGTGAGCTTGAACTGCTGACCTTGCAGATCAAACTGACTTTGCAGTCTAGCATATTAACCCACAGTGCCTCCCCAGAACTATATATTTATATAATGTTGTTATATGTATACACACACACACACACACACACACACACACACACATATATATATATATATATATATATATATATATACAAGGAGCTCTGGTAGCCTAGTGGTTACGAATCAGACTATGAACCTTAAGGTCAGCGGTTTGAAACTACCAACCGCTCCGCGGGAGAAAGATGAGACTTTCTTCTCCCGTAAAGATTTACAGCCTCAGAAGCCCTGTACAGGGTCGCTATGGGTCGGAACCGACTCTACGGCACATAACAACAACAACAACAACATATATGTATACTTATATATGTTGTTGTTGTTACGTGCCGTCGAGTCGGTTCCGACCCATAGCGACCCTGTACAGGGTTTCCGAGGGTGTAAATCCTTACGGGAGTAGAAAGCCTCATCTTTCTCCCGCGGAGCAGCTGGTAGTTTCGAACCGCTGACCTTTAGGTTCGCAGCCCGATTCGTAACCACTACGCTACCAGATACTTATATATATATATGCATATATCCCATTTAGCCTCTGTCACTGATCACAGAACATTGTTGTTCCAAGGTTGTGTATATATCACAATTTCTATCTCCTTTAGCCTATGCATACCTCTGTGTCTTCACACCTATCTTCATCATTCTTCTGCCAACTTCCCTTTTCTTATATATTGCCCTCCTCCTTCTCGTATATTGCCCTCTCCATTACCCAAGTTAACATATGTCTACTCTCTAGCCCTGGTAGTGTAGTGGATTATGAGCTGGGCTGCTAACCACAAGGTCAGTAGTTTGAATCTACCAGTTGCTCTGTGAGAGAAAAACAATGCTTTCTGCTCCTGTAAAGAGTTATAGCCTTGGAAACCCTATACAGGGTCACTATGAGTTGGAACCGACTCGACAACACACAGCCACTACCACCATCACACTCTAACCAGTGAATTACTCTCCAACCCTCACACCCCTGGTAGCCATCAAAGAATGGTTTAGTATGAAAACCTTTCCTTGAATTTTTATATTAGTAGCCTTATAACATTATTTGTCTTTTGTGATTGACTTATTTCACTCAGCATAATGTCCTCCACATTCACCTATGTTATGAAGTGTCCCACAGATCCATCGTTATTCTTCAACACTGCATAATGTTCCATTGTGTGTGTACCAACATTTATCAGCTATTCCAATGATGGGCACTTAGGTGCCCCCTAAATTTTTTCTCTAATTTCAAGTTGATACCATATGTTATTGTTGTTAAGTACCGTGGAGTCGGTTCCGACTCATAGGGACCCTGCACAGGGTTTCTGTATAGATAATTTTTAAAAAGATTTGTATGTACAAGTCCTATATACTCTTCCTTGCCTGTGTTTAATGTCCCTACTTATATCATACTTTCCTTTACTACTCTGAGGCTCTTATGAGCCTCTGTAATGCTTTGTATTATTCATAGGGCATTTATCACCTTATATCTTACATTATGGAGTCCTGGTATGGCACTGCAGGTAAATGTACTAGACTGCAAGGTTGATTTGAACTGCAAAGTTGGTGGTTCAAGCTCACCGGCTGCTCCTCAGAAACCTATACAGGGTTGCTCTGAGTTGGAACTGACTAGGTAGCACTTAACAACAGTCTTAACGTTGGACTATATTTGTATTATCCATGTTTTACTTGAGGGGCCTGAGGGTGCACAATAGCCACAAAGCCCATTGCTATTGAGAACAGAGAAGAAGTATGCCTAGAGTTTTTAAGGCTATACAATTTTACCCTAACATGCTGCCACATCTTTCTCCCATGCAGATTGAACTGCCAGCCTTTTCTTTTGGTTAATAGCTATGTGCTATGCCCCAAGGGTTCTTCATTTCCACAAAAAAAACAAATCTCTTCCTGGTAATGAGTAGATACTGACTCATTGTGACCCTGTATAGGGTTTCCGAGACTCAGTCTTTACAGGAGCAGACAGGCTCTTCTTTCTATTAAGAAGTAGCTGGCGGGTTTGAACTGCCAACCATGGAGTTAACAGCCCAATTCCTAGCCCACAGGGCCACCAGGGCTCCTTTCATAGCCATAAAGGAGGGCCATGTTCTTGTTAAGTGCCATCAAATAATTTACAACTCACAGCAACCCTGTGTAAAGTTTCTAAGGCCATAAATATTTATAGGAGCAGAAAGCCACCTCTTTCTCCCGCAGAGTGGTTGGTAGATTTGGACTGCTGACATTGAAGTTAGCAGTCCAATATGTAACCAACCCACTATATGACCAGAGCTCCTCATATCCACACACAAAAAACCCTTTGCTGAGTAGATTCGGACTCAGTGAGCCTGTGTAGGGTTTCTGAGACTGTAATTCTTTACAGGAGCAGACAGATTCATCTTTCTTCTGAGGAGTAGCTGGTGGGTTTGAACTGCCAACCGTGCAGTTGTTAGCAGTCCAACTCTCAACCCACAGCAACACCAGGGCTCCTTTCATAGCCACAAAGGAGGGCCATACATACTCACAAATATTTGTTGAAAAAAATGAATACATTCAGGCAAATTCTTAATTTCTTTGTGCCTTAGTTTCCTCAATTATAAAACTTTAGATGTTAAGTACAATCGAGTCAATTCTGACTCATAACTACCTTATATTGGGTTTGTGAGGAGCGGTTGGTAGGTTTGAACCACTAACTTTGTGGTTAGCAGTCCACAAAGACACTTATCCTACAGCAACATACCAGGACTTCAGATGGTTATAGTGAAAAATGGAATGAATTAATGTGTGAATGAGTTTTGTAAAAATGAGGGTTGAATACCATGCTTTTTCTTATTCATGATATAATCTATTTATTGTTGTTTTGTACTGAGTGTTGTTGTTGTTAGTGCCATCAAGTCAGTTCCAACCCATAGTGACCCTGTATAGAGAGTTTCCAAGCAGCATCTGGTGAGCTTGAACTGCCAACCTTACAGTTCAAACTGGCTTTGCAGTCCAGCACATTACCCAGAGCGCCACACTGGAACTCCATGTGCTGAGTAGTGGGTTTCAACTAATAGTGACCCTAGAACGGGTTTCTGAGACTGTAACTCTGCTAGAGCAGAAAGCCTCATCTTTCGTCTACAGAACAAGTGGTACACATTATCAGGAGGGACCAGTCACTGGAGAAGGACATCATGCTTGGTAAGCCGAGGATCAGCGAAAAAGAGGGAATCCTCCGCAAAGAGATGGATTGGCACAGTGGACGCGCAGCAATGGGCTCAAGCATAGAAGCAATTATGAGGATGGGGCAGGGACCAGGTGGTATGTCCTTCTGTTATACATAGGATCTGTATGGATCGGAACCAACTTGACGGTACATAACAGCAACAACATATCATGTTTTGCAACCAGCCTTGGTGACACTGTAGGATAAGCACCGGACGGCTAACTACAAGGTAGGCAGTTCAAGCCCACTAGCTGACCTAGGTAGAAAGATGAAGCTTTTTACTTCCTTGTAGTGGTTACTAATCGGGCTGCGAACCTAAAGGTCAGCAGTTCGAAACTACTAGCTGCTCCGGGGGAGAAAGATGAGGCTTTCTGCTCCCTAAAGATTACAGCCTCGGAAACCCTGGAAACCCTGTACAGGGTCGCAATGAGTCGGAATCGACTACAAGGCACATAACCACCACCGCCAAAAGTTAACTGCCTCTCTATACAGGGTTGCTATGAGTCGGAATACACACGATAGATAGCAGTTGGTTTGGTTTGGTGTATCATGTTTTGCAGGGTGGCTGTGAAAATTTAGAGAAAATGTATGCAAAATGTGTGTCATGTACAATACGACATCTAAGTGGGGAGTAATTGTTAGTATTGAGACTTGTCACGCCCCCAGTTTCACCCTTTGCCCTCCCTGTTAATCTTCTCATCTTGGTAGTTAAGCAAGTTGTTACAAAGTACGCTAAAATGAGCTGAGCCTGGGGGTATTTGTTCAATAAAGTTTTGATTAAAACAAAATAGAATGCCACTAGTTGTGACGCTGTAGGTTAATGCGCCACACTGCAAAGCCGTTTGAACGGCAAGGTCGGCGGTTCAAGCTTAACAGCTGCTCCTCGAAAATCTTATACAGGGTTGCTATGGGTCGGAATCGACTCCACCGCACTTAACAACAACTTGCTCCGTTTCAATAAAGTTTTGCGCAAATGGGGAGGAAGAGGAAAAAAGAACTTATCGCGGGAAGCTACAGAAACGTGTTTCTCGCGGTGTTTAATAAACAGACGGGAAGTGAACTGGAAGCCGCAGATATCGCGAGAATCCACCAGATTGTCGCGATGTTTCGTAGGATTACCCCCTCCCCCCTCTTCTAAGTGCCGTTTCGGTTTAACCTAGTGTGTGACTGAGTCTGAGGTAGCGAGCGAGTGAGTGTGTGAGGTGTTGAGGTGAGGCGGAGGAAGGGGAAAGGGGCTCCCTTAGGAGCGAGGGACAAAGGGGGTGTGAGGCACCTAGGCCGCGGGATCCCAGCGACAGTAAGCTGCCCCGAGCTGGGCTACAGAGTAGGGGAAGGGCCCGCGCAGTACCCACAGGGCCCCAGAGCCGGAGTGGGCACCACAGCTCCGGGCCACCGGGTTATTACTTCCTCGACCTCCCCGGCGCCGGGGCCGGAGGTTGGCTCGTGGGGAGAAGGGAAAAGACGAGCAGCTACCTGGTCTGGCAACTCCACAGCTCAGGAACTCTCGTTTCTCCCTTTGCTCCTTCACCCCCCACCTCATGTAGGAGGGTGCCGAGGAATCGGGAGGGAGGAGGAGCCTGGGCTACCGCCCCTTCCCTCCCCACTCCCTTCTAGGGGCACTTTGGTGGGTGTGGGCTTGGGGCTGGGGGGGAGGGTGGGGCTTACTTTTTGGAGTGTTGGGGAACTTTTTCCCCTTCTTGTGGCCAGAGGAAAGGGAATGCCCAATTCAGAGAGACATGGGGGCAAGAAGGACGGGGGTGGAGGAGCTTCTGGAACATTGCAGCCGTCATCGGGAGGTGGCAGCTCCAACAGCAGAGAGCGTCACCGCTTGGTGTCGAAGCACAAACGGCATAAATCCAAGCACTCCAAAGACATGGGGTTGGTGACCCCCGAAGCAGCGCCTTTGGGTACGATTATCAAACCTTTAGTGGAGTATGATGACATCAGCTCTGATTCAGACACCTTCTCCGATGACATGGCCTTCAAACTAGAGAGGAGAGAGACTGATGAACGCCGTGGCACCGATCGGAGTGACCGTCTGCACAAACATCGGCACCATCAGCACAGACGGTCCCGGGACTTACTAAAAACTAAACCGACAGAAAAAGAAAAAAACCAAGAAACCAAGTCGGGATCGATGAAGGACCGGATATCAGGAAGTTCAAAGCGTTCAAATGAGGAGAATGAGGACTATGGGAAGGCACAGCTATCCAAAAGTAGCAGCAGCATCAAGGAATCCAGGTCATCCAAACTCCACAAAGAAAAAACCCGGAAAGAACGGGAATTGAAGTCTGGCCACAAAGATCGGAGTAAAAGTCATCGTAAAAGGGAAACACCGAAAAGTTACAAAACAGTGGACAGCCCCAAAAGGAGATCCAGGAGTCCTCACAGGAAGTGGTCCGACAGTCCTAAGCAAGACGACAGCCCCTCAGGAGCTTCTTACAGCCAAGATTATGACCTTAGTCCCCCAAGATCTCACACCTCCAGCAATTATGATTCCTACAAGAAGAGCCCTGGAAGTACCTCAAGAAGGCAGTCGATTAGCCCTCCTTACAAGGAGCCTTCGGCCTACCAGTCCAGCACCCGGTCACCCAGTCCCTACAGTAGACGCCAGAGGTCTGTGAGCCCCTACAGCCGGAGGCGCTCGTCCAGCTATGAAAGGAGTGGTTCTTACAGTGGTAGGTCACCCAGCCCCTATGGTCGAAGGAGGTCCAGCAGCCCGTTCATGAGCAAGCGGTCTCTGAGTCGGAGTCCACTTCCCAGGTGAGTTATTTGTCGACCAGTCCTTTCTAAGTTAGGGTGGGAGTGAGGAACTGGACGTTGCCATGTTGACATTTTGTTGAAACCCATAGTGTTCTAGCCATCTTGCTTTGGCTAGTCTTGCCAAGTAGGTGCATCTAGCCTCCCTTTTAGAATTAGATGTGGGAAACTGCTGAAGGTAGGTACTTCAACGGCAAGGTCCTGTGTAAGAAAAATCGTAGACCTCTACTTATTGAGTACATTCAGTTGGTCCTACTTCCCAGAACTTGTTTGCCTGTGTATTTTGCTTTGTCTTACTTTTTTTTTTTTTACATCACCATGGTATTAGTGCTTTTAGGCTTTATTGGCCCTGATTGGGGAATTAAGCAATTACACATTCTCATTTATATTATCTTGAGGCTATTTGACTAGGCCATTCTACCATATGTACTGTCATCTTAACCTGTAAGTGCATTCATTCTTAATTGACAGTGTCTTAATAACTTACTTAGATGCCTATCTTTTTAACTGATATTTCCAGTAGAAATTCTGTCAATTAGTCCTTTTTTCCTTTTGATGGCATATCCTGGTAGAACTTGCTTGCAACGCAATTGCTTGTTTTGTAAATATATATATTTATGTACACACACGTTAAGTGCTATCAAGTCAGTTACAATTCATACTGACTGTATAGCGTTTGCAATGAGTGGCTGGTGAGTCTGAACAGCTGACCTTGAGGTTCAGGTCCAGTGCTTATCCTACAGCACCACATCAGGTCTCAGTGTATGTATGTGTGTATATGTATGTACACACACACACACACACACACACACACACATACACATGCATGCGGGGCTTCAAAAGATAATGGATTATCTTTCAATTCCATTTCCCCACAAACTTTAAAAGCCCCCTCATATTTACAATACATGTAGGCTTCAAAAATTTTGTGGAAAAATGAAATTGAAGGATACTGGAATTTTTCCACAAACTTTTTGAAGCCCCGTTGTATACATATGTATACTGTGAAAACACGAAGTCCTGGTGTGGCGTTGTGGGCTAATGCGTCAGACTGCAAAGTCATTTGAACTGCAAGGTCGATGGTTCAAGCTCACCAGCTAGCTGCACCTTGGAAACCCTATACAGGGTTGCTATGGGTCGGAATCAACTCAATGGCACTTAACAACAACCACAACATCATAAAACATTAGTCTATTTCTACATTTTCTGCATGTATATTTGAGTGATATTGATTGCCTTCATCATGTTGTACAACCATCACCATTATCTATTTTTGTTACCATTAACAGAAACTCAGTGCCCCAAACAGCAATTCTTTCTTTCCCCTTCTCTCCTTGGTAACCACCAATAAGTAAACTTTGCTCTCTACATATTTGCCTACTCTAGATATTCAAGTTATTTAAAATAATATATTTGGTGGTTTTTTGTTGTTTATTTCTACTGGCTTATATCACTTTGCATGTTTTCAAGATTCTAAGTAATATTTCCAGACAAATTCATTTTCTTTACATCACCATTGACTACATTGTGACCACTGGTAATTTTCAAAATCTTTCTCTTAAAAAATGGTAATAATGTCTTCATGATGATAATCTTATGAGAAAGGCATGTTAGTTTGAAATATAATTGTTTACATGAATTATCTGTGGAAAACTGTTCTGTTCCTCGGTGGTGAGATATATGTACCTCACTTCTGTCTACAAAAACGGAACGTGAACTTTGGAGTTTAGACTTGAATGGAATCCTAGTGTTTTGTCACTTTTTAGGGAAATTATTTAATTTTTCATGCCTGAGTTTTTTTCATGTTTTAAATAGCTGCATACGCCTTGGTTTGTTGTGAGGACTAAATTAGTAAATATGAAGTGCATAGCATCCTACATTTATTACATAGTACCATTCAGTAAGTTTTATCTATGAATTAGTATAAACACAAGTTCAATACTAATTGAATATGTTGTTCAATACTATAAATATGTTGTTGAACACGAGTAGAGAAATTATCCTAATCTGAAAAATCTATGCAGGTCTTTTGTATATAAGTGTGAGTCATATAAAACTCATACAGAATTTTTGCTGACATAATCATAAACTAGTTTGAATTTGTCAAGCTGAAGGATTCCTAGGTGTCAAAATCTGACGTTTTTTAGTTTTTTTTCCACCTATATAATTTAATTATAAAAAATGTTTGAAATGTGGAAAAAGTTGAAAGAATTACACAATGTGCAATTGTATCTGTACCACCTAGGTTTTACCATTAATGCTAGTCATCTCTGCATCTAATCATCTTGTCTATTGTTTTATGTTGATTCCTCTCAAAGTAAGTTGCAGACATCAGTATGTTGTTGTTGTTGTTGTTAAGTGCCATCGAGTCGGGTCCGACCCATAGCGACCCTGTACAGGGTTTCCGAGGGTGTAAATCTTTACGGGAGTAGAAAGCCTCATCTTTCTCCCGCGGAGCGGCTGGTAGTTTCAAACCGCTGACCTTAAGGTTCGCAGCCCGATTCGTAACCACTACGCTACCAGAGCTCCTTAGACATCAGTATACTTCAGTCTAAATATGTAAGCATGTATACCATTTTCTAGAATTCAGTTCTTGGTTTTGTTTTGTTTGTTTTCAGAGCAAAGAGTAAACCATTTGTTGACTATGACTACCCAGGAGGAATTTGGTTTTTTTTTTTTTAAGGAGTGAGGAGTAAAATTTATATACGACAAAATATAGTGCTTAGTTGTTTCTTGTTTTTTAAGGAAACCTAAGAAATACTTTTAGAATATTTTCTTGAATGAATAGTTTCAAGCTGAGAACTTTTCTGTTGGTGGGTTTGAGAATACAGAAACACACTGAGGCTAAAATGTTAAGTTTCAGTAACAACTGCTTGTTTGCAATGATTGTTTCTGGGTTCTTAAAGAAAACAGTGCATCTCAAGTTCTCCTTCCTCCACTCTCTTAATTGGACCTAGTGCAATCATGATAAAAATAAACCAGAAAAGATTTGGAGACACAATAGTATAGAATGCAAATATAAACACTACATAATGTTCTTGGAGTCAGTAGTACATTGTACACAGTTGGCTTATGAGAACATTATACGTGTATGTATGCACTGCATGTTTTTCCTTATTCTTTGGGATTCCAAACAATAAGTATAAAAAACTTGGGGTTAAACTCATCAGAGTTGAGAAATCTACAGATCCTTTCTATGGTGTTTTCTGTTTTTTTCTTATTAGACACAGTCAAAATGAAACAAGCCAACATCATTTTAAAAGACTGAAAATGCTTTAGCAGAAATGAAATATCTTTATATCAACAAAGTAATAGTAATTAATAATAGCAATTTCATTTTAAATAGGTAGAACCAAACAGTTGAGGGGGAACATAAAGACCAATTATGCATAGTGGTCTACATTTACCTATTTGTTGTCCCCCTCCCCTTTTTTTTTTCTCAAGGAATGGATCTGGAAATCAAATATAACATCTGTGTCACTAAAAATGCAATAATTGTATGGCCACCCAAATGTCTTATACACAGTAGACTTCTGATCATAAGTTGAAGGGTTTGTAGCAGAGTTTTCTAGAAAGATTTGGTTATGAAATAATAAAACAATGGTTTGTAGTGCATAGTCTCTAGAATTTCTAAAGTTTGAGGTTCTAGAAGTTTTCCCTGGGATAGGGATGTCATTTGTTCATCCTAACTATAGTTCAAACAGAGAAAAACCTTTTGTTTCATCTATTACAAGAGAAATAATAATTTTCTTACAGGTACCTAACCTATATTTAAGTGGTTAAATCCACTTAACCACTTTTTAATATTTCATATCTTTATGCTCAAATAAAGGTTTTGTTTAGGGTTTTTTTTTTTTTTGAGGACTGTTAATCCAATAATGGAGTTCTGGTGTGGCACTGTAGGTTAATGTGCTGGACTGCAAAGCTGATTTGAACCACAAAATCTGCATTTCAAGCTCACCAGCTGCTTCTCAGAACCCTATACAGGGTCACTATTGGTCGGAATCGACTCAGTGGCATTTTGGCACTTTACACCAACCAATTCCAATAATGAACTTTTTATTTCAACTACCGAATTTTTGGAGCTAACTTGCAAAAGTATTATTGTTGGTGTTAAGTGCCGTGGAATCTGTTGTGACTCATAGCAACTCGGCATAGGGTTTCCAAGGAGCAGCTAGTGGGTGTGAACCACCAACCTTGTGGTTAGCAGTTCAGTGCTTATCCTACAGCACTACAGCCATGGCTGCTACCATTATGTGAGTTGTTTCTCCTACACACGTATGTTGTTTTCTTTTGAAACATTTTGATTCAAATCATTCTTACCAGTGATCAAAAATAAGGGGCAATACTGATTATTTTGATTGGCAGCAATTTGTTTTAGATTACTGGGAAAATTATGTTTTGTCCAGCTACATTTTTAGTACTAATTCTTACCCCCTCATAGTGAGGCCTTTGCAGGTTATACTTTAGTAAAAAGAATTAATGAGAGTTGAGTTTCAGTTTAGAATAATCTGCCTATAAATTCTCAGATTTCATTGTCCAGTTCTTCCTTATGAGAAAAATTAATTGAAAGTGCAGTATTATACCGCTGTATGAGTTCCTAGATTCCTGTTGTAGAGCTGTGGGATCATCACTGGACTGAGAACCACAACAAGGTCCGCCATTAAAACCCACCAGCAGCTCCTTGGAAGTTCTATACATGGTTGCTTTGAGTATGAACTGACTTGATAGCACTTAACAGAAACAACATGTGAGTTCCTAAAAATTGAATTGGGAATCATTTTATATTGAAAGGACCAGTGTAGCTATAACTTAATTGTAAACTGATGGTATAAAAGATTTTCCTGGGATCTACCAATTAAGTGACTCTTAATAAAAAGTTTTGATGAAGCATACAAGTTACTTTTGACATCCTACCTTTAGTATAGTACTTTCTTTCTTGTAGTTTTACCTTATTGAAGGTTAAAACTAAAATTATGAAAATATTCGTTGTGAATGTTTATATCTTTTCCAAAGTAGAAAAAAATATCCAGCTTCTTTTCAGTTGAATACAATAGTGAATAATTTTTTGTGATAAGCAATTCAAATATGTTGTCATGCAGGATTTAGTTCCTTCTACATTAATCAGTTTAAAAAGTTTTAGAATAGCTTTAAATTTATGGAAAAATTGTGATGTTACAGAATCTCTATATATCCAGTTTTCTCCTATTATTGTATTATTAGCATGTTACTTTAGTATGGTTTAATCTTACAATTTATGAATCAATATTGACACATTTTTACTAACCGAAGTCCATACTTCATTCATATTTCCATAGTTTTGACCTAATATCCTTTTTTTCTTCCCAGATCCTATCCAGGATTCTTGGATGCCATGATTCCAACTCATAGTGAGCCCTTAGGAAAACTCCCCTATAGGGTTTTCATGGCTATAATCTTTTTGGAATCAGATTGCCAGTATTTTTTTTCCTGCAGAGCAGCTGCTAGGTTTAAACCACCAATCTTTCAGTTAGCAGCCGAACACTTAACCACTGTACCATCAGAGCTCATGCCTATCCAGGATACCATATTACATTTAGTCCTGGCGTCCTAGACTCTTCTTGACTGTGGCAGTTTATCAGACTTTCTTTGTTTCTGGTCACATCTATTCTAATGCTCTGTAGTTTGTTTTACTTATCTGTTTTCATCTATGTATTACTATAGTCTATAAATTTTAAACTATCTTTTTTTTTTTTTTTTTCAGTAGGAAATCCATAAAGTCCAGAAGTAGAAGTCCTGCGTATTCAAGACATTCATCTTCTCATAGTAAAAAGAAGAGATCCGGATCTCGCAGTCGGCATTCCAGTATCTCACCTGTCAGGCTTCCGTTGAACTCCAGTCTGGGTGCTGAACTCAGTAGGAAAAAGAAGGAAAGAGCAGCAGCTGCTGCAGCAGCAAAAGCAGATGGAAAAGAATCCAAGGGTTCACCTATATTTTTACCTAGAAAAGAGAACAGTTCAGTAGAGGCTAAGGATTTAGGCTTGGAGTCTAAAAAGTTAACCAGAGTTGTAAAATTGGAAAAATCTGCCCCAGATACTGAACTGTTGAATGTAACACATCTAAATACAGAGGTCAAAAATTCTTTAGATACAGGGAAAGTAAAGTTGGATGAGAACTCTGAGAAACATCCTATTAAAGATTTGAAAGCACAGGGAACAAAAGACTCTAAACCCATAGCATCAAAAGAGGAGAGTGTTACTCCAAAGGAGACAGAAACATCAGAAAAGGAAACCCTTCCACCTCTCCCCACAATTACTTCGCCGCCACCTCCTTTACCGACTACCACCCCTCCACCTCAGACACCCCCTTTGCCTCCTTTGCCTCCACTACCAGCTCTTCCACAGCAACCACCTCTGCCTCCTCCCCAACCAGCAATTAGTCAGGTTCTTGCTTCTAGTGCTTCAACTTTGCCCCTTTCTCCTCATCAAAGGACATCTACTCTGTCCTCTCAGACAAATTCTCAGCCCTCTGTACAGGTTTCTCTGAAGACTCAAGTGTCTGTAACAGCTGTTATTCCGCACATGAAAACTTCAACATTGCCTCCTCTGCCCCTTCCACCCTTATTACCTGGAGATGATGATATGGATAGGTGAGTTCTTGGTTAACTTGAAAAAAATTAACATGATCCATGTATAATGTATTTTATTTTCTGTGCTCAAACTTTCTCAGAACTACTTACTGCCTGTTTGTTTTGTTTTTGTTTTTTAAGTACGACATTCCTTTGATGTTTGGTTTTAGTACAAAAGTCCGTATTTGTGACATTTTTATTTGAGAAGAGATCATTATGATTTGAGAACTAGTAACCCATTTTCTCTTAATTTTATTTACTGCTAGTTTTTTATTCAATTAAAAAAAATTAGTTGGATTTTTCTACTTAAAGTTTTAATACTTTAAGAAAAATTGAAAGACTAACGCAATTAGTAGCCAGGTATTTTTACCCAGAGTCATCGATTATTAGCTTTTTGCCACACTTGCTTTAATTACAGGTATCCTAAGTACTTCAACAGAGCTCTCTCCTAAGAATAAGAACATTTTTCTCTATAACCACAATGTCTTCATCACTCTAAAATTAATGTTGATATAATTGTATAAGAAAATCTTATAAATTTAGTAATAATACTATTTAATTAAATATTCCTGTTGTTGACTTTTGGCTCATAGTGATCCCATGTGATAGAGTGAAACTACCCATAGGGTTTTTTAGGTCTTTATTTAGCAGAGCTGCTGCAAGGATTTAAACTGCCAACCCAGCTATCAGCTGAGCACTTAACCACTGTACCTCCAAAGGGCTCCTACAAATATTTTTGTTGTTGTTAAGTGCCTTTGAGTCAGTTCTAACTCATAATAACCCTATATATGGTTTCCAAGACTGTGGGTTAATGTGCCAGACTGCAAAGGCGTTTGAACTGCAAGGTCGGCAGTTCAAGCTCACCAGCTGCTCCTTGGAAACCCTACACAGGGTCGTTATGGGTTGGAACTGACTCGATGGCACTTAACAACAATGTAAAGCCCTAACTATGTTTATTATAAACCGGGATGCTTTTTTTTTTTTAATTATACAAGAACGATTTATAGAATCTTTAATTAGAATATAATTCACAATGGGATAATGGGCAAAACTCTAATTTTAATAAGTCCTCTGAATATTGAGAATGATGATGAGGCATGAATCTAATCTTATGGAAGGTATAAGGAAATGTGTTTCTTTTTTGGCAGGACCAGCCAGGCAATTAACATCAGACAAGCATACTTGGCAGTGGCACATGCCATAACAGTCTTTGTTATCTCAGTCCCTTCTGCTGAGATCCTCCCGCCCTCTTGTTCTCTAGAATGAGTTACATTTAAAGCAACAACTTTAAGCGGAAAAATAAGTACAACTGTTCTTACATCCAGACCATTTCCTAAGCCTCCATTACTTTTCAAGTGACATTAGTAATTTGGAGGAGGATACATTTCAGACCTTTAGGTCTGTGCTCTTCCAGACAACTCTTTGCCTTTTGGGAAGGTATATTAAATGGGGAAGAAAAAAAAAAAGACTATTTGAAAAAATGGTTTCATCCCTTATTCATAGTGGCTACTAGGAAAAATTGAGATACATAATACACTTCTCATAGATAAAAAAGTTATATGTTTTTATAGTTTTGTTTGAAAAGGAAGTAGTTGAGCATTATCCAAAAGGACCCTTGCCCATTATCTACCCACAGGAACCTTGTTTAAATATTAGTTTACACAGTTGCTAGAACAATATCAGAGTGGCAAAGAATCTTATTGTGAATTCTTGTTTACTTGCCTCATCAGGTTTACAAGTAACAGTTGAACTTATCTATCAGCGTAGAATGTGTATTTCTAGAGAGGGATAATTTTGATTGAAGGCACATGGGGATATTTCTTTCATTTTTGGGAATGAAGAGTAAAGTTAAGGACATCAGTGCTTAGAGATGTTTAAGAAAGTGTGTGAAAGAATGAAGTGAACAAGACTATTTTTGCTACAAATCCATTCTGGTTCTGAAAGTATACTGAACTTCTTGAAAATCCAATGTAACTATTTTTTAATGTATGGTGTTTTTTGGCTAGTTCATTATTTTCCAGATATAGTATTAGCAAATTACTAATGGTAGATAAATGGAAATAACTTTTTCTACTAATTCTATGTTTTTCATTATTTTAAGATTTTAAATTCTAGATTTTAAAAAAAACTGATGCTTTCTAAAGCCTACCAGCTGCTCTTATCTCTCACTTGAAATAATTAACAAAACTTACTAGAAAAATATCTAAAAGTTTTATAGAGAACTCATTTATGTTGCTATTTTATTTTCTAGGTATTTAGCAGCTTTTACATTGAGAATGTGACCTACACATATTATTATTACCTACTGTGCCTTAAAAAGGAGCTTTGGTAGTAGTTATGAGTTGGGCTGCTAACCTCAAGGTCAGCAGTTCGAAACTACCAGCTGTTCCATAAGAGAAATATGAGGCTTTCTGCTCCCATAAAGATTTACAGCCTCGGAAACCCTACACAGGGTTGCTATGAATTGGAACCGACTCCACAGCACACCACAATGCCTTAAACAGACACACAGAATGCAATCAGTAAATATTAGTTATTTGAATAAGTAAGTAAAATTGCTTAAGGATCCAGTGTCAAAACTTGTCTAAAATGGCACTGGGCATGTAGATAGAAATCAGTTGACACATGAATGATGTAAATGTTATTGTAGAGTATTTGTCTTATTTGAGAGTCCTTTTTGGGGAAAGAATGAAAATTTTCTTTCAAACATATTTTGGTCAAGGATGTATTTATACAGATAGCAAATACCGGAGTGAATTTAGCTACTTGCACATGTAAGGACTGAGCTGCTTATCGAAAGGTTGGTGATTTGCACCTACTCAGTCATAAAGCAGAAGAATGACTTGGTGATCGGCTCCTGTAAAGATTATACCCTAGAAAACCCTTTGGGGAAAGTCTACTCATGTCACGTGGGGTCACAAAGTCAAAAATAGACTCAACTGAACCTAATAGCGTTGAAAAATCCTTTCTGATTTTTGGTCTACAATGTCTAGTGTTAAGAACCAAAGGACACCACTTCTGACGTAGTACTTTCTTTATAAACATAGCTATTCTTGGGAATCTCTTTGCTTTTCTGAACATTGTTCTGAACACTGTTCCTAGAAATTTTAGTTAACAATCTTGATTTTGCGTGTAGCTATAAGATAAGCACTCGACTGCAGGGTTGGTTTGCACCATAAGATTGGTATTTAACAACAACAACCTAGGTTTTTAAGTCTTGTTTTCTGCCTTATTTTTCTGAAAGTCTAGTTCATTTGGAGTTTACCTATGTTCTTTGTTATTCTAAAAGACTGTATCTGTACAAGTATTGAGCTCTGTATAGAAAAGAAAGTAAAGATTGTATAAGCATTTCAATTTGATTTAGGATTTTGCTATAGAATGCTTGGTTCCCATATATTATGCCCTCAAACTCAAAACTTTCATATAATTTTGTAACTGTAACTGAAATTTTTTAAAACAACCTGTTTTAAGGAGATGGAGATACATAAAAAGTAGTTTATGTTGTTGAAGGAGTCCTGGTGTGGCACTGTAGGATAAGCACTGGACTTTATGTTAAAGCTCAAGGTCAGTAGTTCAAACCCACTAGCCAGTCCACAGAAACCATGTACAGGCTCGCTTTGAGTTGTAACTGACTCAGGCATTTAACAACAACAACAGTGCTGTTGAAACTTGAAAATTATCCAAAGAGAAATTAAATTTATTTTAAATAGTTGAAATGTAAATTCCTTATTTTTTCCTTATTAATAAAAACAACTTATTGTTGTGTGTTGTAGAGTTGATTCTGACTCATAGCGACTCTGGGGGCGGTTTCAAGATTAGTTAGTAGGTTTGAACTGCCGACCTTGTGCTTAGCACTCCGGTGCTTATCCTATAGCGCCACACCACACATACACATATTTATACATTTTTTTTAAACTACTGTATACAATGTAGGAGCCCTGGTGGCATAGTGGGTTAAACATTGGGTTGCTAATTGCAAGGTCAACAGTTCAAGCTACCAACTGTTCCGAAGGACAAAGATGAGGCTGTCTGCTCCTATAACTACAGTTTCAGAAACCCTAAGAAGCAGTTCTTAACTCTATCCTAAAGAGTTGCTATGCATTGAAATCAACTTTATATGGCAGTAGATAGGTTTTTATACACAGTGTAATCACACCATATGCGCATCTATCCTCAGACAAATGGGGAACCAAGAAATACTGATACTGTTATGGTGCACCAGCACATCCTGGTATTAAATCTCAGTTAAGGACTTTGACGTAATATTATCTGCTCCCTTATGTTAGACCCTCTTTGTGTCTACTATGTGCCCTCAGTATTTATCGTTGTTGCTGTCAAGTGAGGCACAACTCATGGTGCTCCTGTGTGTGTAGAATACAGCTGCTCCATAGAGTTTTCAAGGTTATAAAGCCTGTACAGGGTCACTATAGGCCGGAACTGACTTGGTGGCTCTTAACAACAACAAAAACCTTTCAAAAGCAGATCTTTTAAAAGAAGCCTGTCCTTTGAGGCACCAAATTTCTAGTCACCAAGCGTTTAACTAATAGTTCACAATTTTGCCACTGAGTGACTCCTCAACACTTAATATTGAGCTGTCTTTTACTGCGTGTACTACTTCTAAAGGGTAAAGGTCATAATATTAGATACCACAATTTATGGTCCACTACTATTTCAATTTTTTGTTATAATAGAATTTGCTAAAACAGGATTTGACCTCTATTCATATTATATGCCCTGAAGTTATAGTACATTTCCTATCAAGCACTCATTCTTTGTTGAAATCAGTATGCAAAAGTAATTTTTCAAAGGTTCTGTACATATCTTATCGCTGTTACTTGTTTGTTGTTAAGTGCCTTCAAGCCTATTCGACCAATAGCAATCCTGTATAGGGTTTCTCAGGAGCAGCTGGTAGGCTTGAACCACTGACTTTGCAATTCAAACCAATTTTGTGGTCCAGCTCATTAACCAGCAGCGCCATACCAGGACTCCACATTTCTTAGCAAACATTAATTTGAAACCAAAAAATAAACCTTAGAAAATACAAAACCTAAATATAAAATACTTAACTTGATTGAAATGATGGTTAGATCATTCAAATACTTCTTATTCTTCTAGTGAAATATAACTACTTATAAGAATATTTTGACTTGCTGAGTACTGTCGAGCTGGTTCCGACTCATGGTGACCCTATATAGGGTTTCCAAAGAGCCACTGGTAGGTTTGAACTGGTTAGCAGTCCAGTGCTTATCCTACAGTGCCACACCAGGATACCATTAGTAGTATGGAAATTAGAAATTTTTCTTTCCTGAAGATCTTAAAAATTGGAGAAATTTTTTTATTTTTATTATGTCCTGATTCAAGAGTTTCTGGTAATGAATTGTGTTCCCAGAACAGAAAAACCTTAATGTAAATTATAATGATGTTGTGTGTTCATCTCTACAAGTAACTACAGAAAGTTTCAGATGTTCATTTACAGTGCATTGACTCTCCCAGTTTTGGTTGATGTGTAGTACAGACTAACCTAAATTCTTTTATTCTGTCTGATTTTATAAGAGATTAAAATGTTAAAAATTGGTAGGAAGTAAGAGTCCTGATATGGTGCTGTAAAATAAACACTGGACTGCCACCCACAGGGCCAGCAGTTCATATCTACCAGCTGCTCCTTGGAAACCCTATTTAGGGTTGGTGTGAGTCAGAACTGACTTAACAGCACTAAACAACAACATATATAAAACCATGCTAGATAGTAAGTCTTCTCTTTCTTCACAGTATCAGATGTTTAAAAGCAGTCACCCCCCTTGTAACCCACTACACTACCAGTTATAATTATATTATATAGGAAGACATTAATGAGTTTGATAAAGGACTTACAAATAATATTACAAGTTTTTCATTGTTCCTTTATTATACTATAGATTTTCTTTTTGCAAAGACCATTGCTTTAGCTATGATAAACTTCCGTTTCTTATGTTTTATTACAGAATTTTTCCTTAAAAGTAAAATATTTTAAATATTTAAATAGGCATTATAACCTTTGAAAAGTGTAATTTTCCTATCCTTTAAATAATTATGATCAATTTTGTTTCTTCCCCTCCATTGTGTAGTCCAAAAGAAATTCTTCCTTCAAGACCGGCAAAGAAAGAAAAGGAACAGAGGACTCGTCACTCCCTCATGGACCTCCCTCTCCCTCCAGAGCTTCCTGGTGGGGATCCATCTCCCCCAGACTCTCCAGAACCAAAGGCAGTCACACCACCTCAGCAACCATATAAAAAGAGACCAAAGTGAGTTTTTGTGTGGCCCTGTAGGATAAACACTGGACCTCAATGTCGGTTTGAATCTTAAGATCGGTGATTCAAACTCAGGAGCCACTCCTTGGAAACCCTATACAGGGTAGTTATGAATCTTAACCAACTCAGTAGCACTTAACAACAACAATCCTAATTGTAGCTCTGTGTATAAGCAATGAACTGCTAGCCACAAGGTCAGCAGTTTAAGCTCACCAGCTTGCTCCTTGGGAGATAAAGGAGACTTTCTGCTCCTACAAATATTTACAAGCCTTGGAAACCCTACACAGAGTTGATGTGAGTCAAAACTAACTCAAAGGCACTTAACAACCACAATCCTTAATTACAACTTGCTTCCTTATCTTTGGACTTCACACTTTTCTTCCTCAGTAAGACCACAGAAATTTGGTCTGATCATTTATTTTAATGGATAAAAACCTTTGTAAGAGACAACTGTTCATGTGCAAACATAGTTGTTTTTAGAAAAATAGTAACTTCCAAAATCCAAATATATAGCAGACACTGTTCTCCTAATATCCTTTGCGTTTAATAATACTAAGAATATATTACAAAAGGAGAAAGACGTTTTAGACGGTATATAAACTACGCCAATGTTAATGAACAGTTTTTAGGGGTTTGTTTGTTTTTTCTCCTAAAGCACATAAATTACTATGCCGCTAAAATACTAGGATCCAACTTTGATCTCCTGATTATTAACATTCTTCTAAATAAAAATAGTTACCATTTACTAACCATGTCTTACTGTCAGATTTTCTTTTATTGGTAGCTCTATGATATAGGGTTATTTTTCTATTAATAGCATTGTGTCTATTTTAGAATTTGTTGTCCTCGTTATGGGGAAAGAAGACAAACAGAAAGTGACTGGGGAAAACGCTGTGTGGACAAATTTGACATTATTGGGATTATTGGAGAAGGTACCTATGGCCAAGTGTATAAAGCCAAGGACAAAGACACAGGTAAATATTTTCCTGGTGGGTAGTGGTAGTTTGGTGGTAAAATTCTCACCTTTTATGCTAGAGACCTGGCTTTGATTCCTTGTCAGTGTACACATAGTTACCACCCTTCTGTCATTGGCAGTTTGTGTGTTGCTATGATGCTGAGCAGGTTTTTTTGCAGTTTCCAAATAGGTAGAAACACCTGTCTATCTGCTTCTGAAAATCAGCCCATGAAAACCTATGGATCACGAGTGTCTTCTTCATAACTATCGTGGAGATGGTGCAGCACCAGGCAGCAGTTGATTCTGTTGTACATGAGGTTGCCATCAATTGAGGGCTGACTCCACAGCAGCCAACAATAATAAATATTGTCACAAATTCTAGATGTCAGAGGTTAATAATTTAGCCATAGAGTAAGGAGCATTGTGATATAGTGGTTAAGCATTCTGCTGCTAACCAAAAGGTCAATAGGTCAAACCTATCAACTGTGCCACACAAGAAATATGTGGCTTTCATAAAGACCTGTTGCAAAGTGCTATCAAGTCAGTTCCAACTCATAGCGAACATGTATAGGATTTCCAAGCTGCGGCTGGTGAGTTGCAACCGCTGACCTTATGGTTGAATGCTTATCCTACAGTGCCATACTAGGACTCCTCATAAAGACTATAGACTTGGGAACCACCTGGGGCATTATGAGTCAAAATCAACAACAATGGTTAATATCTTAGGTGGATTCTAATTTAATTCTAATTTGGTTTCCAAATGTTACTAAGTAATCCAAAGTTGTCCAAAGAATAATCTGTTTTAAAAAACATTTTTTTAATAGTAAATGCTAAACATTTTATGATTTGTTGGATATTCATGGTAAAAATGAAAATTTCTATATTGTTACTGGTGTGGTGCTGTAAACACTGGACTGCTAACCACAGGGTTGGTAGTTCAAACCCAACAGCTTCTCCTTGGAAACCTTAAACCAGTGTGTTATGAGTTGGAACCCACTTGACAGCATCTAACAACAACTTACTTGTTAAGGGAGAATTGTTGATAAATTTTAATTTATTCTGACATGTTTAGGCCTAACTGAATATTATTAAAAATTAATACCTTGTCTTAAAATAAAAAATGAAAACATTTTTCTCTTTAAGATGTAAAAGAACATTAAAGTAGATATTAATTTATGTTTTATATTTAAAGGTATTAAACACAAAAAATTAAAGTAGGTATTAATTCTGTCTTTCTTAATAGATGCATATATTAGACTAAGTCAAAAATTTTTGGGTTCTATTTCATACATGCACAGATTTATTCCAAACAAAATATATTTAAACAGTTCTCTCGGGAATATACATGTCTTAGCCTCAAAGGGTGACTTTAAAAGATCTAATCAAAACAGTGGTTTCTGAGGTGATTTGGGCCAGTTACATTTAAAACAGAGAGGTCTTTCCTAAAGATTATTGTGACTAGTTTTTGGTAATCTTGATAAATTTTCCTGAAGAACACAGAAGGATCACATAGTCTTATGGGTGAGGAAAAGGCTAGACAAATTGCACCAATGAATTTTTTTCCATCACAATGCATCAGCTCAGTCTTCATAGGTAGCAAGGGCTGTCTGATAAGAATTTCATTGGGAAACCTTTCCCTGTCCACTCTTCAGTCCTGATGTTGCCCCTTTAGACTTCTTTTTGTTCCCCAAATTCAACATTTGAGTCCCTCAAGGATGACCAAAGAGCCATTTTGACATGGTATAAATTGATGAGCACAAAAGGATTAGAGAAATGAAAACACCACCTTAGGAAGTATACAGGCCTAGATGAGAAACAATTGTTTCGCAGTTTGATTTTTTTATTTAATAAAGGTCTTTATGTTTTGTAGCAATAATTTTTACTTGGTTTCATTTTGACTGTTTCATGATTGTAGCCCAAAAATGCTAATTGCTAATGATAATGGTTTGGATTTGTTTTCACAGGAGAGCTAGTAGCCTTGAAGAAGGTGAGACTAGACAATGAAAAAGAAGGCTTTCCAATTACAGCCATTCGTGAGATAAAAATCCTTCGTCAGTTAATCCACCGAAGTGTTGTTAACATGAAGGAAATTGTCACAGATAAACAAGATGCATTAGATTTCAAGAAGGACAAAGGTAACTAGCAGAAAACTGTTTTTGGTTTTTTTTTAAATTGATTTTACAGGGTAGTTTGGTACAATCTTGTTTTCGTTTCTTAACTTCTTTGCCTGTTGGAATTTTTTTTTTATAATGCTTAAGTACAACTTCTTTATGTAATTCCTACCAGAATTAACATATTGGTAGATTGCTCTTGTGCCGAACAGTGCTTACTTTATAACATATTTAGTCATTCATCAGTGTACTCTTTATACTTTTATAAATCATTGTTGATCATTAAAAGGTGCGTTAGGTCGAGTTTGTGGAATACCTAATTGTTGTGATTAAGTGCTGTCGAGACAGTTCCAATGCATTGCGACCCTGTGTAGGGTTTTCGAGGAGCAGCTGCATGGTTTGAACCGCCGACCCTGTAATTTAAACTGACCTTGTGGTCCAGTGCATTATTCTCCAGCGCCACACCAGGACGCCAAATACCTAATAAGGCCAGATAAATAATATAAGACCATTTTGCAAGCAAACAATATTTTGGGTGTTTATTGCTTTCTTTTTTCAGATTATCTTGTAATAACAATAATGGAAATTAAAATCTCTTTGGAGTGTAAAATTTTTCATTGTTTCCATACTTACAGTCTTTCCATGATATTCAATCTTTTATAAAACAAATCTTAACAGGATTTAGAAGTGGTTAACTGAAGTAAGAGTTTTTAAAGTCAAATTAAGTGATGGCATCTATGAATATAGTTTGGAATGTTAATAGAATGATTGAAATACATACATTAGGAAGGTAAGGGATAAAGGGAAGCTGGGCTTATTTACAAAGTCTCAAGGATATTAGCACTAGGGAAGCAGCACCCCCTTGAATTTGAGAAAAGTAATTTTAAAAGCAAACAAAAAGTAACTGCTTATACAACAGAACAGGGGGGCTTCAACAAGTTCCTTAGAAAAATGGGATGAAAAGATAATGGAATTTTTCCGTGAATTGTTTGAGCCCACTCATATTTATGGTCAAATCTGAATAGAGTTTAAAATACCGTATCTGCTTCAGGAGTGTCTCAACTTTTTTTTCTGATTATAAAAATAATACAGTGTGTAGGTAGTATCTGGAAGGATTCATGAGAAATTATTAATTGGTTGCTTCTGGAAACTAATTTTTAATCTATGGCGTTTTGTATTGTTTTAAGTCATTTACCAGATATTGTGTAAAATTTTTTTAAGTTATAAAATCATATATGAGCAACTGGATATGTTGTATTTTCATTGTGGAAATACTGAAAATGCAGAAGAGTAAGAAAAGGAAAATAACAATCGCTTCTCTCCCAGCGCATCTCAACATTCTATTATCCATAGAAAACCACTGTAGTATTAACATTTTAATACGTTTCCTTTCAGTAACTTTATGTGTGCGTATTAATTTAATGTAACTGAGATCAAAGTATGTATGTTTTTATTATAACTTAACATGTTATTAACAATTTATATTGTTAACATGTTTTATTAACTTTGCACAAAGATAGATGAACCCAGAGTTACTTCACCATTTCCGTGTTAAACATTTAATTTCCAACTTCTAAAAAAATATTATAGTGGTTATGAATTGGGCTGCTAACCTCAAGGTCAGCAGTTCGAAACTACCAGCCGTTCCGTGGGAGGAAGATGAGGCTTTTTGCTCCTGTAAAGATTTACAACCTCGGAAGCCCTGTATAGGATCGCTATGAGTCTGAATCGACTCCATGGCATATAACAACAACAACATAACAATATTACATTGAGTATTTTGTGCATATATCTTGACATTTGATATATTTCCTTTGAATATAACTCTTTAGAAGTATAATTTCACATTTAATGTTAGGTTGCTTTTAAGAACAGTAACAATTCATGTTCCAACAATGAATATATCTTTTTATAAAATGTCATCTTAATGAGTAGAGTATGAAATACCATTAGTTTGTATTGCATTTCTGAGCTTTTTCCCTATTTGTCCATTATATTGATTTACTTATTTTATAACTTTTTCTAAGGAGCTCTGGTAGTGTAGTGGTTAACGAATTGGGTTGCTAACCTCTCAAGGTCAGCAGTTCGAAACTACCAGCTGTCCGCAAAAGAAAGATGAGGCTTTCTGCTCCCTTAAAGATTCACAGTCTCGGAAACCCTGTACAAGGTCGCTATGAGTCAGAACTGACTTCACGGCACATCACCCCCACCACCATTGGGAATAGAGTGAAGGTTTATAGAACAGATCATACTTCCACATTCAACAAATTATGCGTTTCATGTCATTACAGTTATTGCAATCCACTACATTAAACAGTATTTTATCTCTGTTGATATTATTTTTCCCCTCCACCCACTCTCCTCCTCATGTAACCATCATAGATAGAATGTTTCATTTAGCAAGAAAATCTTTTCTTAATATTTTACAGTGATGGTCTTATCCATTATTTGTCCATTTGTGAGTCACTTAATTTCACTCAGCATTCTCTTTCTTAAGCTTTGTTTGCCCTTTGTCAGCTTCTCTTTTAGAATCTTACTGTTTTTCTTATTAATTTGTGTGTCTTAGAGAACTCATCTACGAAATCATGGGCCCACAGTTTTTTTAAAGAACTCAAATTTGTTTAAAGTGGTATATATAGCAGAGATTTTATATAGACTTTTTGACACTCACACCCTAGATGGATAACTTGATTTTGTGCTACTGTAAAACAGCGTTTTGGACTAGATAGGTCATTGTCTAGCTAGATCTAGTATTTATTTATGTTATAAGAGTTGTCTCTATTATTGGTGTTGTTGTTGTTATGTGCCGTGGAGTCGGTTCCAACTCATAGCGACCCTGTACAGGGTTTCCGAGGCTGTAAATCTTTACGGGAACAGAAAGCCTCATCTTTCTCCCGTGGGACAGCTGGTAGTTTCGAACTTGTGACCCTGAGGTTTGCAACCCGATTCGTAACCACTACACTACCAGAGCTCCTTGTCTCTATTATATACCCTGCCAAATAAAGATAATGTGGATTTCAAATCTTAAGTTCAAATATTTCTCACTCCTTTTATTTATTTATAAATTTAGAGGTTGAATTACATGATTCAACTTTTATTCAGTTCTGTGAATTCCACTAGTAATTTAATACCAAACATTCCATGCTGCCCCTGGTATATTATGTACCTGTTAACTAATGTAAAGATCTCACAAAAGTAGTTCCAGACAATACAGAACAAATGGGCTGGCTTTGTTACAAATAAAACTTTATAACAACAATGGGTTTGCTGTAGGTCTATAATTTGCCAACCTCTTGTTTGGTAATTAAAGTCATTATGGTATAAACAAAGTGATTTTTCTGCTAATTTTAGACATTAGTCTAAAAAGCACTAGGCTAGTAGAAGATTAATAAAAACAGTAATTCTGTTGTTTATTATTAGAAGGGGCAAGTTATTCAGATAATTTTAATTCTTCATCCATAAAATTAAAGGGTATTCCAGAGAGTCTGTGGCCCTACTGGCCAACGCCAAAATTGTATTAAAATTTGAGGCATTGTCATTGTAGCAGCCTTTTTTCTCTCGTTTTTAATTTTTTTCTTCATTTTATATAGGTGCATTTTACCTGGTATTTGAGTATATGGACCATGACTTAATGGGACTGCTAGAATCTGGTTTGGTGCACTTTTCTGAGGATCATATCAAGTCATTCATGAAACAGCTAATGGAAGGATTGGATTACTGCCACAAAAAGAATTTCCTGCATCGAGATATTAAGTGCTCTAACATTTTACTGAACAACAGGTAACATAGTAACCAAATGAAGTCAAGCACTTTTATTCCTGTCCTCTAGCACCCTTAATTCTTGCTAGTTAATTAGGATTATAAATAGTCCAAATAGAGCACATGCTGTAGCATTTACAAACATTTGATGTTTGTACTTGAGGAACAACTTATGATGGGGTACTCTGATCAGCAGAGCCTGCAGACTCGGTTTGGAGAGGAATTGACAGAGGATTTTGTAAACCATCTCACACACACATGCACCATTCCCACTACCATTGAATAAAACTGCCCCATAGGATCTCAAAGGCTGTAAATTTTTACAGGAGCACACACATCTTTTTTCCACAGAGCAGCTGGTGGGTTCGAACTGCCAACCTTCTGTAGCAGCCAAGTGCTTAACCACTGTGCTGCCAGGATTATAAAGGTTTTTAAATTACAGGCATTATGAGGAATAACTCATACAGCTACAGTGTTCAGAGAGCTTTAGTCGTAGTTAGTAAATAATATTGTTTTGGCCCTGAGCAAAATCAGATACACATTGAGTTCTTAATGATATTCCCAGTTGTTTGCTGCTACTGCATGCCACATTGAGTTCCAACTCACAGCAACCCTGTATAGGGTTTCCAAGCTTGCCTTGGTAACATAGTGGATTACGAGCTGGGTTATTAACTGCAAGATCAACAGTTCGAATATACCAGTCACTCTACGGGAGAAAGATGAGGCTTTCTGCATCCTTTTATAGCCTCGGAAACCCTATTATACAGCAGTGCTATGAGTCAGCTGACTTGATGGCATGCAACCATCACCGCTCAAATCTTCACAGGAGCAGAAAGCCTCTTCTTTCTTCTGCATAGCAACTGGTGGATTCAAACTGCTGACTTTGTGGTTAGCAGCCCAACATGTAACCCATTATGTTTAGAGAAAGAGAATATACCTGTTCCTTTAACTGCTCCTGAGCCTTTCTTGCTTGCTTACCGTCTTACAGAATAAACATAGGTTTAGTTGACTATTGACCTTTCTGTTCAGCAATTACTCTGGGTTTTAACAGTATAGACAGACAAATTTGGTGCTGAACCAGGTGTGAATGTTTTAAGAAGTTTTTGTCATTTGCTTTCTTCACTGATTATGTGCCACCCTGCATTGATGATAAGTGAAGGATTATGTGCTCTAGTATTATTTTGTTATGAATTGTTGTATATATTTCTCAGTCCAGTGCTGATCCTACAGGTTGGCCTTTTTTTACTAGCCCTACCTATTAGAAGAGGATCTCTGGTAGCGTAGTGGTTACGAATCGGGCTGCTAATCTCAAGGTCGGCAGTTTGAAACTACCAGCAGTTCCACAGGAAAAAGATGAGGCGTTCTGCTCCCGTAAAGATTTATAGCCTTGGAAACCCTGTGCCAGGGTCACTATGAGTCAGAACTGACTCCATGGTACTTAACAACAACAACCTATTAGAAGGAGTCCTAGTGTGACACTGTAGGATAAGCTGGATTGCTAACCACAAGGTTGGCAGTTCAAACCCACCAGCTGCTCCTCAGAAACCCTCTGAGTTGGAACCAACTCCATAGCAGTTAACAACAACTTATTAAAGGATAAAGAGCCAGGCCAGTGTTTGGTTCTTTAGGTAGTAATTGGACTGTTTGTTATCCATCTTATTTCAAACTGCTCAGTTCTATTTAACAGATATTATCTATGTAGGTGTATGGGAATGATTACAATACAATTCCTGTTCTTACAGCATGGGGCGATTAACCTTCCTGTCATAGTTTGAGTTTAAAAAGTTCCATGTGCAATGGTTGGTCACCCTGTGGAGCTCAGTGTTTAGTATGGGAGGTAGATAACTTGTACACTTCAGTAAAGATTTATCAAGCCTGTTCATTTATTTTTATTTTATCAAGCAGGTTAATAATAGAGCAAGAAGGGTGATGTACATATGGAAAGAGGTGAAACTGGACAGTTGCAAGGAACCTAATTTGAGGATCTTGTTATCCCTCTGAGGAGTTTTAACTTAGATGATAAGGAGCTAATAAAGGGTGCTGGTTTGAATTTTTTATTTTATGTTAATTATACAAGTAGTATATTATTTTATATTGTATGGTTACACAAGTATTACACAAATATAAAGGAGACCAAACTGTATTAGGTCTAGGAGAGAGATCGAATTCTGTCATTAAATGGTGACTGTATGGTGTATAGACTGCAGGGAGATCTGTTAAGAACGTAATAGGAAATAGTAACTGAATGAACCAACACATCACTGATAGTGATGGTTAGCATGAGCTTGGCAGATCAGTTGACTCTGGTGAGTGAGTAGAAATGAATGAATAAAATACTGTTAATGTACATCCTATTTCTGATGAGAAACTAGCTAAATGGTTGGCACTGCCTGGTGTGGCACTGTAGCATAAGCACTTGACCTCAAGGTCGGTTTGAATTGCACGATTGGCAATTCAAACTCACCAGCCACTCATCGGAAACCCTGTACAGGTTCACTATGATTTAGGACCGACTTGATGGCACTTAACAACAAGAAGAATAACCTATTAATATACAGAAGGAAAATCAGGTTGAGTGGGGTGAAGAATGGAGTCTGTTTTGGATATATCTGTATCTGGAGTCCAGGTATGGTGCTGTGTGTTAATGCACTGGACTGCAAAATCGGTTTGAACCACAGTGATGGCAGTTGAAGCTCACCAGCTGCTCCTGGGAAATCCTATACAGGGTCACTATGAGTCAGAACTGACTTGATGGCACTTAACAACAACAACATTTAGACATGTAGGGTGGTGATATCTAATAGAAGTATGGGAGATTCACTCTAGCAGTATAGTTTGGGGATTTACAAATATTGAAAAGCTGTCAAAAGGTAGAACCCGAAGTAATGGTTAGATACATAGGAAGAAAACAAGGAAAATATGAATACAAGATAGCCAAGTTTAAGAAAGGAGCAGTCATAGATAATAGATAATATAGGTTATAAAACCTAAGAAGAGAATCTGAAAACTAAAGGGTCAGTGATGACATACTATGGGATTAGTGGATGGTTAGTTTTAATTAGGTAGAGGTGTAAGGGTGAGTCCAAAATTATCTGCACTCTGTAGAATTTAATCTACTTTTAAAGAAAAGACAAATGCATTATTTTCTCAACCTAATCTCCTTCATTTTCAGTACATTTGGTCTTTCAACAAGCTTTCGTGTTTCCTTATTAAAAAGTGTTTTAGGCTGAACGAGCCAGCCGTGCATCAATATCTTGACTTCTTCATCAGAGGGCTGCTTTGAGGGGACCAAACAGGTGGAAGTCTGATGGAGCAAGATCAGGACTATAGGGAGGATGCTTTAATACCTCAAAATGGGCGTTTTTGCAGCGTGTCATCAGTGTAGGCAGAATTGTGTGGACGAGCTGTCATGCAAGATCACAACGTACTTGAATAACAGTGCTCTGCATTTTATCTGAAGTTTAGGCTTCAGCTCTTTAGTGAGAAGCTTACTATAATGAGCACTGTTGATTGTTGAACCTTTTGCCTGACAGTGTTCCAACACTGGCTCTTGAGAGTCCCAGAAAACTGTAAGCATCAATTTTCCAGATGATTGCTTTTGAATTTTTTTGGTCTGGGATTGAGGATGTTTTCATTCCATACTCTGCCTTTACTCTCAGGTGCGTAGTGATGAGTCCATTTCTTGTCACCAGTGATGGTTTTTTTAAGAACCTTAACCTTCCATCAAGTATTGGGCCTAATTCTTTTTGCAGGTGTCAGAATGCTTCTGTTCATGCTCTTCCATGAGTTGTTTTGGTACCTATGTCACACATACTTTAAGAAACCCAAGTCTGTCGTGGATTATTTCATGGAAAGAGCCATGGCTGATTTGCAAATGATTTGCCACATAATCCAATGTCATTAATCTATTCGACAGAATCATTTCATCTGCACACTCAATGTTGTCATCAGTGGTGGACATGGACAGTGTTTTAATATAACCCGTTTTGTATAATTTTTTACTTAACCTCATATATGTGTCTTTTACTTTAAGGTGGCAGAGATTTGAACATATTTAAATTCTAAAGGGAAAGAAAATCAACAGAGTGGGACAAGTAAAAGATTCAGGAAACGACCAAAATAAAGGAATATTTCTAGAGGAATTGGGATCAAGGCCATAGGTAGAGGGATTATCCTTGAATAAGAAAAGGTATTGACTCAATTTAATTAAAGAGAAAGAGGAAGGAATAATTAATAGATTCAAGCAAGTTTAAAGGTAAGAGGTTAAGGAGCTTTAACTTTTTACCTTTAACTATAAACCCTGTATAAACTATAAACGCTTTGAGTTGGAACCGACTCCACGGCACATAACAACAGCTTCATCTTAATGATTTTTTTAAGTGAAGAAGAAAAAAACAAAATCTTACTCTTGAGCATGAGTAGAGTAGTGGGTACACTAGGGCATTAAGTAGATTGCTGAAAGTTTGTGATGGCAGCCTAGCAGCAGAGGTGGCTTACAAAAGACAAACCAAACCCAAAAAACTCATTGCCTGCCAGTTGAGTCAATTTCAACTCATGAAGATCCCTATAGGACAGAGTAGAGTTACTTCTTAGACTTTCTGAGACTGTAAATCTTTACAGAGCAGACTGCTTCATCTTTCTCCCAGAGTGGCTGTAGGGTTTGAACCACCAACCTTGCATTTAGCAGTCCAGTGCTGAACCCACTGTACCACCAGCCCTCCTAAGACAAATAAAAGGACTAATAGCACTGAGGGCCTAACTGAGATAGGAAATCACACATTTTGCAGTGGCATCAATCTATACAATTGGGTGATTTTGTTTCTTCAGCTTGTGTTCAACTCAAGGTCGAAAGAAGCCTAAAAGATGAATTCTCTATTGATCCAGAACTAGAAACTTATGAATTAGTGACAGGAACTAGCAAGACAATTGTTGGGTTAACTGGTCAAGCAAGAAGATACAATGTAAGGGAGAGCTGATAAACAGGGAGGAAATAGAGGCATCAAGTACTTGAAAATTTATAGTCAAAAAGCAATTTAACCAATGGTTTCATAAAGGAATCCCAGAAAATTCCTTATATCTTGCTTACGTTTTTGTTCTGCCCTAGTAAATAATATTGTGATGTTTCTGTACTATTTTATATTGCCAAGTGTTTACCAGAACTTCTACACTTCGTACTGTTTCACTATAATTAACTCAAGTAAAAAGCAATAGTCAATAAAGAGCTATCAGGATTATTTATCATATACTAATTGCAATATGTTATTAAACAATTACATCATACATTTATTTAGTACCCTGGGTGGTACAGTAATTATGTCAGTATTAGGGTCAAACAAATGTCATGATACCTGTAACATAAAGTAATCCAACAAAAAAAAAGGGGGGGGCCAAATATAGTAAGTACTCAATTACTAACCAAAAGATTGGCTGTTTAAACACACTCAGAAATACCCTGGAAGAAAGGGCCAGTGATATGCTTCCAAAAGGTCATAACCTTGAAAACTCAATGGAGCACATTTGTATTTTGTAGCACATTAGGTCACCATGAGTTGAATCAACTCAGTAGCTAGGTTTTTTGTTTTGTTTTTAAATTTATGTGCTAGATAGGGGTCAGTAATGGTTTAGTGTAGAATTCTCACCTTCCATCCAGGAGCCCTGGTAGCCCGGGTTGCTAACCTCAGAGTCAGCAGTTCAAAACTACCAGCTGTTGTTCTAAAGAAAGAGAGGCTTTCTGCTCCCATAAAGATTTAATAGCATCAGAAACTTACACAGGGTTGCTACAAATTGGAATCGACTCCACGTCATATAACCAACCAACCATACAAGAGATTCCTGGTAATATACACCTCAAGCATAGCTACCACCCGTCTGTCATTGGAGGCTTGTGTTGCTGTGATGCTAAACTGGCTAAGACAGACCAGGAAGAAAGACCTGGTAATCTACTTCCAAAACAATCCTAACTATGTATCTGTTGGCATTTTAACTTTCATTCCTGCTATGAGTCTTGAGTCTAGAATGATCTCAGTCTCTCAGTCAAGATGCCTCAGTAAGGATACCCAGTATTGTTGTTATTATTTTGTGCCATTCATTTGGTTCCAACCCATAGCCACCCTGTATAGGGTTTCTGAGGAGTGGCTGGTAAGCTTGAGCCACCAACCTTGTGGTTCAAATCGGCTTTGCATTCAAGCACCATAGTGCCACATCAAGACTCCTTGTCCCAATATAAGACTCAACTGTTTCTCCACTTCTTGCTTTTCTCAGAGTTTGCTTATAAGTTGAATTTAAGAAAAATACAATATGTAGAGCAAGTGGATTGTTATGTGTTGTCAAGTCAGTTTCCTACTAGTTTTTAATCTAGTAGGTTCTAGGTACCGTTGCTTATCAAGAAATAATTAGTTAAGGAGCCAATTCAAAACTGCAGTAGTAGTTAAAAA